CCACGGCCCTCGGGGCCGCCCGGGGGTGGCCGACAGGTGCAGGGAGTGGGCTGCTGCCGGGGGCTCTGCATCTTGCTGCTCACGGAGCATCGTGGCCTGGAGGGCACGTGGGCACGTGGTCTTCCCTCAGCTGGGCTGTGGGGTCACGGGGTTGTGTCCTTCTGCAGTGTGCACCGTGCAGCCCGCGCCCTGCTGGGTCAGGCGTGAGGGGCTGGCAGGCAGGGTCGACTGCAGCCCGCAGGCCGAGTCTGGACCACCACTGGCTTCTTTTTCACTGGCATTTATCTTTTTTTTTTTGTAATTTTTAATTGTGGTAAAATATTTATAACACAGAAGTTGCCATTTGGACCATCTTTGTGTACAATTTGGGGCGTTAGTTACATTCACAGTGCTGTGCCGCTGTCGGTGCGATCCGTCTCTGAAACTTTCCCCGCCGTCTTTGTAAGGAGTTTTCCTGGCATTTACTGACCATCCGTGGCACTGTCACCCCCACAGTGGCCGAGCAGAGTAGTTGCCACAGGGACTGTACGGCCCTAAAATACATGAAGCCGCCTTGCGGAGGGTGCGGGCGGCATCCTGGAGACACGCACTGACCGTCTCCCCATCTCTCCCCAGGGCGGCCCAGCTGTGGCTCCAGCCGAGAGATGGGGACTTGGAGACGGTGCAGGCCGCCTACCTTGGCCTCAAAGGCCTGAGTAACAGCAGCGGCGGGGAGCCCAGGAGCCGGCCCGGCCAGGCGCACGACAACCACAGCTTCACCACGTGGGCATGGGTCTAGGGGTAGGGGGCGGGGGCGACCCCGGCTTGGTCAGAACACCAGGCCTGAGAACCAGGATCCCGGGGTGCCACCGCCCCCACATGCTGCCTAGGCTCACTGGGACCTCAACTGCCATCCCTAAGATGGGGGCTGGTGGTCCTTCTAGCCCCTGGTCCAGACCCTGCACCCTAGTGCCCAGAGCAGACCCCACCCATGTCTTATCTTGAGAATTCAAACCTGCAGAGAAGGTGAAGCTTCTGGACAGGATATTCCCTTCACCAGGACGCAGCAGGGCTCCGAGGCGTGGCGCCTGCACGCTCTCTCCTCCCTCCCCGTCCCTCTGCCAGGCAGCCTCCAGGGAGCAGAGGCCAGGGCAGCCAGTCGGGGTGGCGCTAGGTGGATGGGGTCGGGCCTGTGTCACAAGAGCCTGGAGAATGGGTTGGTGTGTGGTTTTGGGGCTTGGGGGCCCACAAGGGAACTGAAGGGGTAGAAGGCAGGTGATCTGGGCCCAGACTGCAGAGGACAGCCTGGCAGGAGCAGAAGTATCCCCAGATGTAGGTTCCTGGGGCCCCATGTCCCTTCTATGCCTGGGGGGTCCCGGCCGGGCAAGGCAGCCTGGCCCCATGGTTACGCACACTCTGAATAAGCCCCTTCCTCCACACAGCCCTGGGAGCCGGTCCCCGCCCTCTGAGGGCAGGCGGGTGGCTCCTTGGACCAGCCCCTCGTATGCTGAGGGCCTCCTCAGGCTCAGGGCAGCTCTGACAGGAGAAGCAGGCTCCCTCCCACTGAAGGCCAGGGCCCAGGTGCCCAGCATGGGGCTGAGTTGGGGTTATACAGGATCCTTGTTCTTCCCCCAGCTCACGCCTCCTCTCTCTGCAGAGACCCCGGCGAGGGCACCGGAGAGCTCGCCGGCGTGGCCTGTGCTGTGGACAAGGACCCCTGGGCCCCCAGTGGCCCTGCCAGCTCACCCTTTACCCAGGTGATGGTGCACCCAGTGTACCCGGGGCAGAGGCCGCCTGCCTCCAGGCCCAGCACGAGGATGCCCAGACAGCTCACCACCTACATCCCGGGGTGACTGAGGCCGAGGCCAGAGCTGGCCCTCCACGCTGGGAGGGCCAGGCCAGCCCCACCAGCCTGCCACCTGCATCTCGACACGTTTCCAGCTTGAGATGGGTCAGTGAAATTAGCTTCCGGGTTTAGGGATCCCTCAGGGCGCCAAGCTGGGACCCTGGCGGGGGTGTCATGTCCCGAGGGAGCCCAGCTGTAGTGGTTTTATAGACAGGCTTCCTTGAAGCCACCGCTGAGGGTCACATAACGAGCTGCACCTCCCTCTGGCCGGGCCCCTTAAAGAGACGGGGGGACATTTTAAGCACATCTAGTTTTGCATAGCGAGGGGGGAAAGGCAACCAACTCCTCCTCGGTCACAGCTCTGCCTCGCCCACTCCCCCGGGGCCCCCCCGCCTGGGGCTGCTGCACCCACTATCTGGAAAGTTGTGGTGAGGGGTGTGAAATACACAATGTTTTCTAATCCTGAAAAATACAGAGGTAAAAATCACTGTCTCGATGTTTAATCCCTGCGAAAGCAAACCTTGCGCACCGTGCGTAAAACTGCAGTCCCTCGTTAGGACCTGCGTGCACGGGGCTCCGCTGGGCGGGTCTCACTGGTGGCTGTGGTCAGCTGGTGGCCAGGCCTGGGTCACACAGAAGGCTGGCTGGCTCACACGATGCTGTCGGTGGAGACCTCGTGGATGATGGCCACCTTGAGCGGCCTGGGCCTCCCCACACCATGGCGGCTGGTTTCCCGCTCAGAGCATGGAAGTCGTGCTGGGTCCCTGCTGCTGCGTCCACTCACCACGGGAGGCTGCTGGACTCCACTCTGGGTGCAGGGGTACCACGCACACTGGGCCCCTTCAGAGCCGTCACCGTCCCCCTCACCCGTCACAGTCAGAGTGGTTAGATGGAAAGGTGGTCACGTCTCTTACCCCCAGCCCAGCTCCCCAAGGGAGCGGTTGGGGGAGCCCGTATGGGGGTACCCGTGCGTACACGCTGCTGAGGTGTGCTCTAGACGTTTGCACCTGTTGGTGTCATCTTGTTTGCTTCATCTAGAATGATCTCAGGGCTCATTCTGTAGCCATAGTCACCTCCTCTGAAGGGCTCTGGGCGGCCTCCAGGCCCCACCCTCCATGTCTCCCTCACCTGCAGAGCCCATCAGTCCTACCTCCAGCTTCCTGCGATTTGGGGTGTGACCAGCTGGCCACTGAGGAACATCGTTGAGGTTTGCCCTCTGACCTTCCCTGCTTCCTGCCTGGAGGTCCCGCAGCCACATTGGGGCTGTGAGGAGGGAAGCCTAATGAAGAAGAGCGGGCGGTCCTGAAGGAGCCTGTGCTGCCCGCTGAAGCCACACATGTCATGTTTTCACTTAGGAGTATGTCCTGATGCAGGCTCCGCAGAGCAGCCCGTCTGTCCCGTGATTTGAATGGGAAGCCCCAGCTGAGGGATCCGTGGGTGGTTCCATGTTTTCAGCTGTTAACGTTTTTCTGTTCGGGGATGCTGTTCTGCCGAGTGGGTTCTGCAGTGGGATCGTGAGGCTGGAGGGTGTGTGGGGCGCACGTTGAGGCATAAGGCGGATTTCACATCACGCTCCTGTGGGGGACACAGCGGGGCACTGGGTGGCAAGCTCAGACCCTGCCCCAGCATGGCATTCACATGGTGGGTCCCTGGCAGACTCAGGCTCTTCTCAGCTCTTCCAGGAGTGCAGGTGGTGCCCCTGGGCCACGTGCCTCCGAGGGTCCTGTGGGCTCCTGTGGGGCGGCGGGGCTGCTGCCCTGATCCCGCAGAGGGTCACGCCCATGCACGTGATGCTGTCAGAAACAGTGGCTCCTTCTGGGGCTTCAGCAGCCCCGCAGGGGTTGGCGCTGACTGGAACAGGCTCCGAGTCCTCGTCTAAGCTCGAGCCTCACCAGGTGCTCTCCGCGCCCTAGCCCTCGTCGGGGTGAGGTGATGGCAGGCTTGCCACAAGGGTGTGGGTTGCTGACAAGGGGAGGTGGGTTTTGTCCCCTGGTGCCTGACCCTGGGCTCCTGGAGCAGAGCATGGGAGGGTGGGGGAGGTGGAGTGGTGCCATCCTGAGCATCTCTTTGTCCTGCCTCTTTTTCTTTTTTCTCCCCAAAGCCCCAGTAGGTAGTTGTGTGTCATAGTTGTAGAGTTGTAGCTCTTCTTTGTGGGACGCCACCTCAGCATGGCTTGATGAGCGGTGAGTAGGTCCGCGCCCAGGATGGGAACCGGCAAACCCTGGACCACCAAAGTGGAACACACGATCTTAACTGCTACGCCACCGGGCCAGCCCCCTAGAAGATATTTGTTGAGTGAATTAATGAGTGAATGAATGAATGGTGGCCCTTGACCTTGTGAAAACGTGAGGGAATGTTCTTGCTCCTCCTCAGTGCTCAGGCCCACCATCGTGCTCTAGCCATGTAGGCCACCCCTCTGCCCACAGGCATGCCACGTCCCTCCTGCCTCCGGCCTGTGCCTCCGCTTTCCTCAACTCATCTAGTCATGCTCTAAGTGCATTTATGGAGTACCCACTGTATGCCTGGCACCGTGACAAAGGCTGACATTCTAGGGAGGAAATGGGTAGCAGGAAGTGCCTGGGGGGCAGGACCAGGAGCCTGGGGAGGTGCCCCGTGGCAGGGTGTTCCCCAGGGTCAGGCCCATGGAAGGTCTGATCAGGATTTTAGATTTGTGCCAGCTGGACCCATGAAACACGAAATTCTTATTATGGATAGAATCGAGCAGCTCCCTAAGGCGTGTTTCCTCTTTCTCCGAATATGGGAGTGTTGACCTCTTTCTGATCTCCAGCTCTTTATTAATTAGGGAGATGAGCCCTCTGTGGGATGAGCTGCCAACATTCCCCTGGTTTCTTGTTTGTTTTTTGACTTTGGGACCTATTGGAGGGGAGGCTGAGAAGAGGCCTGACTGAGGAAGGGTGGCCCTGAGAAAATCGGGGGGTGGCAGTGCAGACGCCCGTGGGGTGAGCTTCCTCTGCCCGATCTAAACATGCATTTACTTTCTGATCAGATAAAGCATGCCGTAGTTAGGAAATGTGCAAGAAGCAAAAGTCCGAGGTGCAAGCGACCCGGGTGTGGGGTCAGGACCAGTGCATCCCTGATGTCCAGGGACAGGTGGGGAGCAACCTCAGTTTGCCCACGAAGTCCACACAGGACAATCCGGTCTCCTCCGCATATGAGACCCACAGTGCTCAGCAAAGCAGGTTAGGGTCTCCAGGACCCCTGGCCTCCTGCAGCCGATGGCGTGGCCTCCTGGCCCAAGCTGCATGGGTGCAGCTGTAGCCTGGGCAGCGGGTGAGTGGGGAGGATGCTGCACCCCTGGCCCTGGGGAGGGGAACACTCGGGACCACCCTTTCAGTCTGGGGTGCTCTGCTCACTTGCAGGTCCCAGGGTGGGGATCTGGGCTGGTAGCCCCCTGGCTGCCCCTGCCACTGTCCTGCCGGGACAGCAGCCTTCTGCCCCCTGGAGCTCACATCCCAAGGGGCATGGGGTCCATGCATGCCAGGGCAGGACCCTTCGGGTGAATCCTGACCTCTGAGGCCCTGTCCTGGCTGATGGCGAGGGACTCTACCACTCTGAGCCTCAGTTTCCCCATCTGTCCCATGACAGCAGTGGCTGTGAAGGTGGAATGCTGGCCACCTGGGAAGGGGCTGGGTGGGGGCTTCCTGAAGGTGGGCGGGCCTGGGAGCCCTGCTGTCCCCACTATGTCCCCAGGCCATCCAGAGCCCGCCCTTATGGCACTGACGTTACTCCTAGAGGGTGAATGCTAGGAGCCATGACACAGCCTGCAGAATGCAGAGTATTGGGGGTCAGGCCTCTTCCACTGGGCACAAGAGGCCCTCTCTGGGAGGCCCCTATGGGAAGGAGCCCCTAGGGCTCAGAGCCGGCCTGGACTCACCCTGGCGCACATGTAGGCGAAAGGCCAGGAGGGACCCCCAGGCTGGCCACACAGCCCTTCTGCCCTGGGGGACCCTGCCCATGCAGCCCCTCAGCCTGGGACGCGCCTGGGCTGCGCCTTGGGGAAGCTGCCGGCTTCACCCCCAGTGTGTGGGGAGGGGTGGCTCCTGTGTAGTGACCACCAGGACTTGGCCCAAGAGTTTTGGGGTTTCCGGGTGACAGCCACAGCCATATTCCCAATGTCCTAAGTGCACCCCCGGTGAGGCACTAGCACACTAGCATCACTCGTCCTAGCCGGGTTTTAGAGAGACAACTGAGGCACAGACGTGGGGGCGCACGGACTGTGGAAATTAATAACAGAAACCTTAACTAAGCTGCAGCAGGAAGCCTGCAGGGGCAGCTGTCACCCCAGCACACATCCTCAAGTCCTCCAAACAGGAAGAGAGGGAGCTTTTCACCTTCACCCAAGTACAGCCACTTTACTTGAACTTGAAGGAAGACTTCTCTCCCTGCCTGGCAACAGCCCAGCCAATGAGGAATGTGGCAGCTCAGCCAATGAGAAATGCCACAGCTCAGCCAATGAGAAACGCCACAGCCCAGCCAATGAGGAGCCACTTCTGCCCTGAACTGTCACTCTCCTCCAGTGGACTTTCTTTAGAACAGCCCCTTGCTGCTCCCCTTTTTTCTCTATAAAAGCGTCTCCCTCTTTGTTCTCTGCATTTGCCTGTGGTTCTCCATAGCATGCCTGTCCTGGATTGTAATTCTTGGGGCTATTCCCCAATAAACTTGTTTTGGGGTAAAATAACAGGTGAATTAGCTTTCTAAGTTGACAGGACCTAGGGGAGTGGAGCATCCCTGAGCTGTCGGAAAGTGAACCCTGAGCTTGGGGCCCCGTCCGATCAGGTGCCAGCGTCTCAGATTAGAGCTGGTTACTGGGGGAACGCCACACAAACCAAAACCCCGCGCATGCTGGCCGCCCAGGCCCTCTTCCCTCTGCGCAGGCTCTCCATTCTGCTGGAGCCGTCCTGCTGGGGCTCCTGGGCTGGGCGCCGCAGCTGGAAAGGCCAGGCCTGTGACCGCAGGGGCATGGGCTCTGGGAGGAGAGATTTGCCCGAGGTCGCCCATTTTACAGATTGGAACACTGGGGTTCAGGCAAGCGAAACCACCTCCTAGTTAGGTTCACAGCGGCAGACGGGGTCCCGGAGAGGGAAGTGCTGCACCCCGGTCACACGTTGACTACGACTTCTCCCCTGTTTTGGGGAACGTCACTGTCCCGGCCCTGGCCCCTTTGGCCAATCCCTCTGGGCTACTGGACGCCCACTGGCCTTTTGCCGCAGGCCTGGCCTTGAACCCTCCACGGCCTGACCTCCTGCGTGTCCCTGGGTAAGTCACTTCCTCTCTCAGAGCCTCAGTTTCCTCCTGGGCGGGGGGCGGGGTGGCCTGGGGCGGAACAGCGAACTGTCCGGGGCAACTCGCGGTTACCTGGCCCCCAGCCGGCCGCCAGACGGGGTCAAGACGGGGCGTGGCCAAGAAGGACGCGGCGTGACCAGAGAGGGGCGTGGCCAAAGAGGAAGGCGCGCGGTGGCCATTGCGGAGACTGAGTCGGAGCTGGGGGCGGGGCGTGGGTAAGGGGCGGGGCTCGGGGCTGCGGCGGCGACGCAGCTGAACCCGGAGGGGCGCGACTCGAGAGGGACAGGGTTTAGAGCTCTGGCGGTGACGAAGTCCAGGCGGCGGCGGCGGCACTCAGTGGGGGCGGCGCTAGGGCCTCGGCGGCGCCGTAGCCGTCGCCGGAGGAGGCGGGGCTCAGTGAGGGGCGGGGTTTAGGGCACTCGCGGCCGCGCGGCGGACGCCGGGGGTGGGGCCTGGTGGGAAGGGGCGAGGTTTAAGGCCTCGCGGCGACAGCGCTGACGCCGGGGGCGGGGCCTGTGCGGAAGGAGCGGGCTCCGCGGGGGCGGGGCTTAGGGCCTCGCGGGGACGCGGTGGAGGCCGGGGGCGGGGCCTGTG